TAATAAAAATGGAATGACACAGGGAAAAAATATTGTACACGCTAACTGAAATTTATTTAATACTTTGTAAAAAAAAATCCTTTTGTTGGTAGCTTCAAGACGCCTCCTGTATGGAGAAACTAGTCGCATGCATTGCTCAAGTGTGATTTTGGCCCATTCTTCCACACATTCTTCAAATCTTGAAGGTTCTGTGGGCCTCCTCTATGAACTCTGATCTTTAGTTCTTTCTATAGATTTTCTATTGGATTCAACTCAGGTGATTGGCTGGGCCATTCTAGCAGCTTTTTTTTCTTTATTTGAAACCAATTGAGAGTTTCCTTGGCTTTGTGTTTGGGATCATTGTCTTGGTGAAATGTCCACCCTCATTTCATTTTCATCATTCTGGTAGATGGCAGCAGATTTTTTATCAAAAATGTTTTGGTACATTTTTTCATTCATCCTTCCTTCAAAGACATAATGTTTGCCAGTACCCTATGCTGAAAAACAGCCCCACACCATGATGTTCCCACCTCCAAACTTCACTGTTGGTATTTTGCGTTTGGAATGATATGCAGTGCCATTTAACCTCTAAACATGGTGTGTATTATGGCATCCAAAAAGTTAGATGTTGGTCTCATCTGACCAGACTATATTCTCCCAGTATTTCACCAGCTTGTCTAAATGTTGTGCAGCAAACTTAAAACAAGCTTCAACATGCTTTTTCTTCAGCAATGTGTCCTGAGCATGCATACAGGCCATGGTGGTTGAGTGCATTACTTATTATTTTCTTTGAAACAATTGTACCTGCTAATACCAGGTCTTTATGAAAACTCTCCACAAGTGGTCCTTGGCTCTCGAACAACTCTTCTGAGAATTGTTTTCACTCCTGTCAGAACTCTTGTGAGGAGCACCTGGCCGTGGCCAGTTTATGGTGAAATGATGTTCTTTCCACTTCCGGATTATGGCCCCAACCATGCTCACTGGAATATTCAGAAGTTTAGAAATCCTTCTGTAACCAATGCCATCAGTATGTTTTGCAACAATAAGGTTGCGAAGGTCTTGAGAGCTCTTTGCTTTTACCCAACATGAGATGTATCTTGTGACACTTTGGTAATGAGACACCTTTTTATAGGCCATCAGTGGAGACTAAACCAGATGATATTAATTTACACTGACAAGGGGCAGGATTGCTTTCTAATTACTGACAGATTTCAGCTTGTTTCTTAGCTTTCCATGCCTTTTTGCACCTGTTTCTTCATGTATTCGATACCTTTTCCTGTGTCATTCCATTTTATTACATATAACAATTTTTGAACTTTTGGTTTCTATGCATATATGGATTGCATGGGTTGTTAATGACATGTGGTGAAAGTTTCATGTGAATAGCACCCTTAGAAATATATTTACTGAGAAAAATTGTGACATGTTCAATACTTTTTATATATATTTATTTAAGGTACTTATATAGTGCTGTCAATTTATTGTGTGCTTTACATACATATTGTACATTCACATCGGTCCCTAACCCTCAAGGGGCGTACAATCTAAAGTACCTAACGTACATTCAAATACTAGGGCCAATTTAGACAGGATCCAATTAACTATATATATATATATATATATATATAATATACATACATACATACACAAACACACACTGTATATCTCCAGTGATCTTCTTATGTTCCACCTCCACCAGATATGGAAAAAAAAAAATATACCACCAGACTGTGCTCAAGTGAATAAATCACTCACCAGACCAAAGTGACCCTTTTAACCAAAATAGGACATCATGTGTTTCATTGCTTTAAGATGGTCCTTAGCTCACACAAGGGTAGAAAATCTGCGTCCCATTGAAAGCTCCTCCACTCCACCATCGAAACCAAAAGGAAAACTAATATAGTGCAGTAAGTTTATTAAAACCGATGATGACAAACAAGTTATAATAATGCTCACATTTAAAAGTGCCTATTAGGCGCAATTTTTCCTACTTAACCACTTGCCCTCCAGAGGATTTACCCCCCTTGCTTACCAGGCCATTTTTTGCGATGGGACACTGCGTTACTTTAACTGACAATTGCACGGTCTTGCTACATTGTAGATACGAGGAACAGAAGTATTTGAACACCCTGCGATTTTGCAAGTTCTCCCACTTAGAAATCATGGAGGGGTCTGAAATTCACATTGTAGGTGCATTCCCACTCTGACAGAATTTAAAAAAAATAAAAATAAATTCATGAAATCACATTGTATGATTTATAAAGAATGTATTTGTCTTGCACTGCTGAACATAAGTATTTGAACACCTGAGAAAATCTGTGTTAATATTTGGTACAGAAGCCTTTGTTTGCAATTACAGAGGTCAGATGTTTCCTGTAGTTCTTGACCAGGTTTGCACTGCAACAGGGATTTTGGCCCACTCCTCCACATAGATCTCCTCTAGATCTGTCAGGTTTCGGGGCTGTCGCTGAGCAACACAGAGTTTCAGCTCCCTCCAAAGATGTTCTATTGGATTTAGGTCTGGAGACTGGCTAGGCCACTCCAGAACCTTGATATGCTTCTTACGGAGCCACTCCTTGGTTATCCTGGCTGTGTGCTTCGGGTCGTTATCATGTTGGAAGACCCAGCCAGGACCCATCTTCAACGCTCTGACTGAGGGAAGGAGGTTGTTGCTCAAAATCTCACAAGAAATGGCCCCATTCATCCTCTCCTTAATATAGTGCAGTCGTCCTGTCCCCTTCGCAGAAAATCACCCCCAAAGCATGATATTACCACCCCATGCTTCACAGTAGGGATGGTGTTCTTGGGATGCAACTCATCCTTTTTCCTCCAAAACACGAGTGAAGTTTAGACCAAAAAGTTCTACTTTGGTCTCATCTGACCACATGACTTCCTCCCATGCCTCCTCTGGATCATCCAGATGGTCATTGGCAAACTTCAAACAGGCCTGGACATGTGATGACTTGAGCAGGGGAACCTTCCGTGCAATGCATGATTTGAAACCATGACGGCGTAGTGTTCTTGTCAGGCTCCGCCCAACGGGATCTCTAGTGGTCCACGACACGGGGTTTCCCAGGACGCAGAGTCTAAGTCCCAGTCTGCCTTTTCACCAGGGCCCCTGATGGTGGGGATGGACTTGGTGCAAGACTGAAACCAGGTCGCGTTCCTGGGCACCCCCCGGCAGCAGAGGGGTCCCGCTGAGGGTATGTGCCCGGGTTGAGCCTGCTGTGAAGGGGACGACAGATCCCGATCCGAGCGGGATGGATGGGATGACAGATCCCGATCCGAGAGCGGGATGGATGGGATGACAGATCCCGATCCGTGCGGGATGGATGGGCGACTGTCAGGAGTAGGCGAGGTCAGACTAGCCGGGTCGGTGTTGTGCGGGCAGCGTGGTAGAGGGGGAGTAAGCGGAGAATGGTCAGGGTCACAAGCCAGGTTCAGCAGGTAGCGGGCAGCGTGGTATCGAGGGTCAGGCAGAGGGATGGTCAGGAACGAGCCGGGGTCAGAGCAGGAGAAGGTCAGCATAAAACAGAACAGGCAGAGTTTGGCAACAAGGAAACGTACTTACAGGACAGGAAACAAGACCTTGCGGCAACTTGGAGATGCACAGGGCAGCTTTAAATAGAGCGCCCTGCTCTCCCATTGGTGCGGCCGCGATCACTACTGCGCATGCGCGGCCGCCGCCGCGATCGCCGAGGACTCTGCGCTCGCCGGCTGGGACGGATCGGCAGTCTGCGCATGCGTGCACCGCCGAGGACCCAGGAGCCCTGACAGTTCTACTGACAGTGACCTTTGAAACTGTGGTCCCAGCTCTCTTCATGTCATTGACCAGCTCCTCCCTTGTAGTTCTGGACAGATTCCTCACCTTTCTTATCAGTGATACCCCACGAGGTGAGATCTTGCATGGAGCCCCAGTCCGAGGGAGACTGACAGTCGTCTTTAGCCTCTTCCATTTTCTAACAATTGCTCAAACAGTTGATCTATTTTCACCAAGTTGCTTGGCAATTGCCCCGTAGCCCTTTCCAGCCTTGTGGAGGTCCACAATTTTGTCTCTGGTGTCTTTTGACAGCTCTTTGGTCTTGCCCATGGCAGTAGTTGGCGTCTGACTGACTGTGGGGTGGACAGGTGTCTTTAAAGAGCTCAGACTGGTGCTACTAAGTTAGATTAATGAGTGGAGTAGAGGTGGACTTTTTAAAGGCACAGTAACAGGTCTTTGAGAGCCAGAATTCTTGCTGTTTCTGAGGTGTTCAAATACTTATGTTCAGCAGTGCAAGACAAATACATTATTTTAAAAATCATACAATGTGATTTCCTGAATTTTTTTTTAAATTCTGTCTCACAGTGGGAATGTACCTACAATGTTAATTTCAGACCCCTCCATGATTTGTAAGTGGGAGAACTTGCAAAATCGCAGGGTGTTCAAATACTTCTGTTCCTCACTGTAAATGAAATTTCTGTCCTTTTTCCCCCACAAATAGAGCTTTTTTTCCAGTAGTATTTGATCATTCTGCGGTTTTTAGTTTGTGCACTAGAAATAAAAAAGAATGACAATTTTGAAAAAAATATACCGTAGTTTTCACTCCATAAGACGCACTTTTTTCCCCCCAAAAAAGGGGGGAAAATGTCAGTGCGTCTTATGGAGCAAATATAAAGTGGCCGGTCCGGAATTTCTGCCACCACCATGTCAGAATACCGGGCCGGCCGCTCAGCTGTTCTCTCCTGCAGGGCCTTACCTGTTCCTCGCTCCAGCGCTGCACAGTCTTCCCGCGCTGGCTTCTGTGACAGCCGGGGTGCCCACTGCGCATGTGCTGCGCTTTGTGAATGAGCCGGTGTCTTCTGGGACACGACAGGTCCCAGAAGGCGCCCGGCCATTCACAAAGCGCAGCGCTTTCTCGCGCATGCGCAATGGGCACCCGGCTGTCACAGAAGCCGGCCCGGGAAGAAGGAAGAACAACTACGCGGAAGTGGGAGCGGGTACCTGTCAAATTCGGGTACCCGCTCCCCCTCCCTCCCCAAAGGTCCGCAGTCTCCGGTCATCCCCTGCACTGCGTCCGCAGTCTCCGGTCATCCCCTGCACTGCGTCCGCAGTCTCCGGTCATGCCCTGCACTGCGTCCGCAGTCTCCGGTCATCCCCTGCACTGCGTCCGCAGTCTCCGGTCATCCCCTGCACTGCGTCCGCAGTCTCCGGTCATCCCCTGCACTGAGTACAGGAGATGACCAGAGACTGCGGACACAGTACAGGAGATGACCAGAGACTGCGGACACAGTGCAGGGAATGACCAGAGACTGCAGACACAGTACAGGAGATGACCAGAGACTGCGGACACAGTGCAGGGATGACCAGAGACTGCGGACACAGTGCAGGGGATGACCAGAGACTGCGGACACAGTGCAGGAGATGACCAGAGACTGCGGACACAGTGCAGGAGATGACCAGAGACTGCGGACACAGTACAGGAGATTACCAGAGACTGCGGACACAGTACAGGAGATGACCAGAGACTGCGGACACTGTCCGCAGTCTCTAGTCATCTCCTGTACTGTGTCCACAGTCTCTGGTCATCCCCTGTACTGTGTCTGCAGTCCATTGGTTCAGATTTTTTTTTTCTTGTTTTTCCCCTCTAAAACCTAGGTGCGTCTTATGGAGCAAAAAATACGGTATATATTTTACTTTTTGCTATAAAAAAAAAATAATTTCTTCATATATTTAGGACATAAAAAAATAAATCCCAATACGTGAAAATTAATTGGTTTATGTGAACGTTATAGCGTCTACAAATGGCGGTATATATACTGGATTTTTTTTTTTTAAACAAGTGATAGTGGCGATCAGCAACTTATATCAGGACTGTGGCAGGCATTCTGGCACTGGGTGGCTGCTACTGACATCCCCAGTGACACCAATACAGGATTCAGTGCTAATAAAAATTACTGACACTGTACTAATGACATGGGGCAGGAGGGGGATAATTTTTGACAAAGAGTTAACAGTGGGGGTGGTGTTGTGTTTCACATAGGGTGCTGTGTGTGTTTTACTATGTAGTCAAGCTGCTTTGTATTGTCCTGCCCACAGACTAACAGCAGGTACATCAAACAATGGCACAGTCAGTGGGCACGCTGCAAGCATTCTCTGACCCCCTTAGAAGAAAGGGAGCGGAGGGCATCCGGTACAGCAGAACTGTCTTCCCTATATCTAGGTTCACACATGTTGTGACCACAAAGCAGATAGGTAAGGTACAAAGTCAGGATAAGAGGCCAGATTTCAACTACTCACAAAACCTAAGCTGGTAGCAGATGGTCAATACGGGAGGGTCATTTTGCCAGAGGTGACTGAATTCACTGTAGGTGTGCAGCAGGAAAGATCGAAGATCCATGTGGATCCGTTCTACCGAAACATCAGCTAAGAGAGATGCTGTATGTCATGAGAGAGTGGATCACATGCTTGGAACGTTCCACCCAGTGGGTGATATACTTTTAGTCTCACAGTATCAATCCCTTCCACAACAGAGCCAGTGGGAAACTAGGAATAAATAGCCACCAGCAAAACTAATAGAACTCCCAGTGCTTCACCCAACCGGCCTAGTTGAGGGACAAGGAATGTATAGAGGCAATGACAGACTCTGGAAAAGCACAACTTCAAGTCCAGCAGTATCCAGATGTGGTATGGTAGCAAATCAGAAAATCTCCAGAAGCATTATAGAAGTTTGAACTGAGAAAAAAAAAAAAAAAAGACAGTTTGGCCTTTACAACCTCAGAGCTGAAGCACAGATGTCCATCCTCCTAGCAAAAAAAACTAATTCATGCTGGTAGCAGGAGGGCTTAACCTGGGCTGGCGTGTAGTTTACCATTGTCCAATTCACCTGTAGGTGGCAGTATAACCTGAAGGCTAAGGCATCATGCACATTGAACGTTTCTCTATTTCTCTATTTCTGGCTGCAGCATTTTGGCAGAAAAAAAAAAAAAAATGTAAACATGTTTAGCTGCATCAAGTATTTGGGTGTCAATTCATTTCAGTGGCCATAATAATAAATTTATTCTGGCCACTGAAATGAATTAATGCTTAACCACTTCCAGACTGGACACTTTTACCCCCTTCCTATCCAGGCCAATTTTCAGCTTTCAACACTATCACACTTTGAATGACAATTGCGCAGTCATGCAACACTGTACCCAAATGAATTTACCATTTTTTTGAGACAGATAAAGCTTTATTTTGGTGGTATTTATTCACCGCTTGGATTATTTTTTCTGCTATGTAAATGAAAAAGTCCAAAAATTTTGAAAAAAGTTTTTTTTTATAAAATTTTGCAAATAAATAATATTTTATCATAAATCTTGGCCAAAATTTATTCCGTTATCTTTTTAGTAAAAAAAAAAATAAATCCATCCAAATTAGTTTATAACCAAAAATAATTTATTTTTTTTTTATATTATTTTTTACATACTGTCACCCTAGCAGTACAGTGTCACCATGGTGACACTGTACTACTTGTGGGGGGTGATAAAGTTTTTTTTTTTATTTTTTACACTGACTGCTTTTACACCCATATAGGATGTAAAAGCAATCATTTCTCTTTCTCTCTGTCTGCATTCTTGCACTCATTGAGAAGTACTGAGTGAGCTGTGATTGGTCACAGCTTGTCACATGGTACAAGGCTGTTGTGAATAGCCTTGTACCATGTGACCTCTGTGATCATTCACAGATCTCACACGTAGTAAGCAATGTCGTCACAAGTGACATCTTGCTTACTACTTTGCATGTGATCACATGATCGGGACCTCGTACAGAGGTCCCGTCCGACGATCGGTGTTTCACTGTGTCCGGAGGACACAGCGGGCACCGGATCGTGGTGCTGCGCGCTCCCAGGGAGCGCGTACAAGCAGGGTGCGGGGAGGCCGTTTATAAACGGCCACCCGACCCTGCAGTGTCACCGTCCGGCCATTTATATGCAACGGCCGGTCGGGAAGTGGTTAAGCACCAAACGTGCCTAGCGTTAATGAACATTTACCCATGTCAAGCTTTTTTTTTTTTTTCTGCCAAAATGCTGCCGCTCCAGGATGCACCAGAAGTGGGTTTTTTTCTTCTGCCTCTAAAAGCTTGCATGGACACATAGGATAACATTAAGGGGCATAAAGAGGCAGGGGAAAAAAAAAAAAGTGTCAGACCTCCCTAGGATTACCTGGAAAAAAAAATGTCTAGTGTGCATGAGACCTAAAGGCTTTTTGTGTTCAATGAAAAAAAAAAAAAAAAAAAAAAAAAAAAAAAAAAAGATAGAAAAAAGGAACTTCTGAAGGCCATCTTTCAATTTGACCTCATCTGTACTATGCTTTCCATGTGGCTTATTCTTGCAGTTCTGGGCACATGATGCCATGGCTGCTTTCCTGGATACTGTTAAGATATCATAAGACCAATACCCCTAAAAGACTAGCTGATGACTTTGCAGTAAAAAGGTAAAGCAACTTATTGCAGGGCACTTTGATTATGAAGCAAGTGAAATGTACATTCATTGCTGAAGACCACCAGAACACACTTTTGGACCTTTTATGAACATTTGTGACCCAACATGAAGCTGTGCAGAGTTGGTAACTGGGCATGACTGGTGCTCAGACGCCACAGATAATTATTAGAAATGTTAGCACTCTCTGAATTTACCTTTACAAAATTAAAATTCATCAAGCCACCAAGGCCCATGTCACAGTAGGTATCCTGTTGGTAATGTGAATTAGCCAGCAGCAGGATGACTATGCAGGCTACATGCAGACAGAGAGACTAGATTAGCCCGTTGTTACTCTTTGGCTGGCTACTTACATTGTCGGCGATGGAGAGAGACTCCTCACTTGTGTTGTAGGAGACAAAACAAATAAGCAGGTGAGGATTTTCTTTGTATAAATGATTAGAGCGCTCATGGTGAATGTCCAGAATAAAAAAACCAGTAATGTTCATAACCAGCAGACAATCTAAAACAGTTTAATGGAGCAATAAAAGCAAGAATCACCATAAGGATGTATCCATGAATGGATGTCATACAAGGATCAGTGCAAACCATAGGCTGGAGGAATCATGGGAGCAGATTATTGAGTTGTAGGCATGGCAATGGAGAACCTGGATGGTGAGCTCAATAAGTGGAAGGTGAAAGAGCCACAATTGATAGTATACAGGTGACCAAGGCCAGTGGTCTGAGAGAGACCCCACAGGAGGGATGAGGATGGACCTCTTCGGTTGCCGGAGATCACGCACCAAAAAGTAATGTCACGGTGCACCAGAAGTAACCTCAGTGGAACACAAGGAAGCCAGGAAGAACCATCAGAAATCCTCAGTAGGAAGGAGACCAATCTCAACAAGTCCCAGTTACCAAGACAATGTGTTCTTCTTTGAGCATTAATGATCCTGTCACTGGCAAGTTCTCAGAAAGTGATAGTCCCATGTGATAGCAGCAATCCTAACAGATGTAACATTTAAACCCAACTGCAGCCAAAGTTTTGTTTTTGTCTTTTTAGCTTTGGACAGGATGCAGAAGAATTAGAGTCAAATTATATGAGTGTTTCCCCTTTGATAATTCCCCTCTTCCCCTACTGACATCTAAACAGGATGTTAAAGAAAATCTTAGCAGGGACTAGAAATGCAATTAAACTTGACAACCTAACTTTTTTTTTATTGCCACATTGAGTAGAATTTGCTTCCTGTTGTATCTGACACCCATCCAGGAAGAAAGGAGAAATCTCCTAAATGGTAGCATAGAGAGGAATAAAATGTTAAACGGGTTGTTAAATGAATTCCCACCAAAAAACACTTTTGGCTGAAGTTATACTTTAGCAGTATTTCAAAACAGTGTGCACAGGCTCTTGTAGAATACATGGTAAAGATTGTATTTACCAAAAAAAAAAAAAATGCAATTTTCTGTTGCAGGTCCCTGTGTTATCTTAAAGTGGCGTTCCACTCACGCTGTCAAAAAATAAAAGTCAGCAGCTACAAAAACTGTAGCTTGACTTTTTAAAAAAAAAAAAAAAAAACACAGCTGTTTTACCAGCTGTCTTCTCTCTCTGTGCGCCGGCATCTTCAGTTTAGGCACCCGGCTCTGACAGCTTGTGGCTTCACAGGCGGGTACCCACTGCGCATGCGTGAGTAGTGCTGCGCTCCCTGAATGGTCCTGTAGTCTTCTGGGACCTGTCACGTGTCCCAAAAGACAACAGGGAGGGAGGACACCTTCCACTTCCGATCGCCTATGCGATACGAGTGGAAGTGGGAGCGGGTACCTGTCCAATTCGGGTACCCACTCCCCCCCCACCCCCCAAAGGTGCAAATCCTTAATGGGGAGCGGGGGACCAGTCTTTAAAGCATTACTTCCCCTTTTGGGTGGAGCTACGCTTTAAAGTCGTTGTAAAGGCTGAAGGTTTCTTAGCTTCATGCATGTGAATGGACACAGCAGCAGCTCGGCAACGAGCCTGTTCAAGTGCACCCATAGCAAGCTGCTTGCTGTGGGGGCACCTGGTAGGAGGGAGGGGCCAGCAGCCAGGAGACCTGAGAAGAGGAGGATCGGGGCTGCTCTGTGCAAAACCACTGCACAGAGCAGGTAAGTATGACAAGTAAAAAAAAAAAAGAAAAAAAAAAAATGAAAATTGTGCCT